TTCCTTCTGTCAGGTGGGTAACGTAATGGATCATGTTACCCAACTCTACAAGTATTACATGTAGAACTACTTAGTGATAATAATATAATAACTTTATTTACATGTCAACAAGATTTAGCATTGCTGCTAATTGGGGACACCTAAAACAAGTTACATTATCAGGACTATGTAAAAACCCCAAAAATGTGTAAAATAAGATCAGAGTATGATTCACATCTAGCTTCAAAGACGTAACTACTAACAGCAGATGCTCTCTTAGTGGGTTTATTTTCAAGTGGACAGGAATTATTTTCATGGAGAAAGTAATGATCAAACACAAAATTTGTTTTTAATTAAAAATGACTGGTCTTCAGGCAAGAACTAAGTTATTGCTTTAGCATTTGCACAGACCTTTTTTCATTAACTCTTACCGTAATGTGGCTCAAATGTTTCTGGTGTCCCTGCTAAGAACTCTTCAAGCTTAAAGTCATTGTCACCTTTAAAAAAGGAATTAAAAATTCAACGATTTGAATTTTTTTTAGTTCTGATTTGTAACACATAATGTATGGACAATGCACAAAGTCATGTACCTTTCAAGGTGAAGCCAAATCCTTTGGCTTGCCAACCTTTACGCCACAGCACATATTCTGAAAACCCACCAGGTCCTGCACACACATCAGCAAAGTACAACAGCTCATTGGGTCCAACCACTTCTCTCTAGAACCAATTGATAACAGAAAAAAGTGCTATTATATTTGTAGTGCCTGTTTGTAAAAGGGAAAATCTACTGTCTTTTTGCAGATCAACTGTAGATCATGAGACAGAGCTCTGCTCAGGAAAGGAACAAAATAATTTTCCTTACAGGCAAATAGCTTAGCAGGCAAGTAAGTTTTATTCTCACTTGCCCAATAGGCAAGGACCCAGGCAATCGGCGCCCGTCTGCCAACTTTCCATTTAAAATAGTAAACAAGGACTTGCCCAGGGCAATCAAAATTTGAGAGCTGCTTGTCCAAAGTGTGGGCTGGAATTCAAGTTTTTATCAAGCCCTGCTATTGCACTTTATTTACAGTTAATTATAGAACCAAAGAGGTGGAAGATTTATAGCCTGAGATCTTGAGGTGCCAGTGAGGAAGGAAATGTTGACTTTGGAGAAGTGTGAACAACAGCAAAATCAATTTTATGCAAATATCCCCTGCAAAGTTGTTTATTTCCAAGAGCATGTGGAGCAAGTGCATATCATTTTACACAAAATTTACTTACCCCTCTGTCATTTTTGGGGCTGGTGAACATGAAGTCAAAAGCAGAATCCATGTTGGCCATTTTCATAGCTGCCCTGTGGATGAAAACATTTCATAAATAAGTTTAATTAAATTAGAAAAAAGGATAATAACTCGGTCAACAGAATCAATGTAGTTTCTTTAACCTGTTTTGAAAGATGGCTCCTCTGATAAACTCATATGGATTGGCTCGAGTCCTTGCTTTCAGAAACTCATCACCAACAAGAGCATCAAATACAGTCTGATGACAAAAAAGGGATAAAAAATAATATTGGTAACTTACAATGCTTTGATTTCAACAATTGCACTGTTAGTACCAATATTAACCAGCTTGATTTCTACCCATTAACAGTCAGTGGTTTCCGTAGCCACATTAATCAAACAGTAGGTACATGTACAAGTCTTGTATAAGACCCACCTGGATGACAATGGGCTAGTATCCTATCCAGGGGGAGTAGTCACTCTTCTATTCAATTTGCACTTTACAAACCATCAAGTTGCAATATAACTCCACTGGTTTCTTCATTCCTGATCTTTATCTTAAAGTTCTCTGTTTCATCAAGAATACAGTTATTAATTACAATTATAGTTGGTTAAGCCTTACCTTGCTCTTGAGAATCTCCAGCAGAACATCCTCACTGCAGAATTGAATTTCATTATCAATTGTTGTTTTTTTCTGTAAGTTAAAAACACATAAATCTTAATTAATTCATTTGTGAATGATGCATTAAGTTAATAAATAAAACTATCAAGTAAATATATTATTTTAATTTGATGTTCATTTGAAGTAACATTATCTTACAAGATCAGTGCCTCTATGAATAGAAGGTATTTTCCATATTGACTTCATGATGATGGTGGAACATTTGAGTTTTCATCCTGACCGTGATATTACTCATCCATACATTTCACTCTTATTGGTACCTCTATACAACTACAGTATTTCTCAGAAATAGTTATTTAATTCTGCCTCTTAAGATATCATAATAGAGAGGTGCGCAAGAACTTTCAGTGCTGTGCTTGCATGTACAAAACTGTGCCACCAAACCTTGCTAACTGTGATCCAGTCCTCCATCTCCTCTCTTGTTGGTGGGGGTCTGGTACAAGATGGAATGCAAGCTTTAGGCTCCTCTATCACCACCTGGGAAAAAAAATCACAAGACTCCCTACAATAAAATTCTATTAAAAGCAGATGGAGAAAGGGGTCAAAACCATAATTACATTATATCTGGATGTTATACTTTCTATTCATGATGAACAAAATAGTACATTCTCATTGTTATTCACAGAAAGTCGAGAAAACTCACCTATACATCTCATTAATGTTTATTTCAATCACCTTATCTAGAGTAAAAATGAAGAAAATAGAATACAATGGAACAACTGATGTACCTCTTCTTCCTCTTCCCATGTAAAATCTTTGTCATCAAAACCTTCAACTCTAAAGCCCAGACCACGCCTTCCTCGTTGTTGTGATGCCTCAATAATATCAGCTCTTCCTTGACCATATCTCCCAAGACCTCTTCCAGGTTCAAAGCCCATGTTTTCCTTGGGAAGACAAAGAAAAAAATTACAGATGAGCAGGAATAAAAACGAATCAGTATACAAGAGTGACACAAGTGATGGAGATGGATAATTCATGTTCCCAGGGACAGATTAATGGGAGGGGGGTGGATTGTGTGGCTAGCCTCCCCTCCCTTCCCCCCTTTGGAGAAGCAAAACATAAAAAAATTTGAAAAAGGTTGTGAATATTATGGCAGAAATAAAGGCAAACTCTCTGGACAGGTACCTCATTGTAATTTATACTTTGTGGCATTGCTGGTATTTCTAGTGAAACAGTTTTCAATTCAGTTCCAATTCTCAAGCTACAACAATTAGGGACCATTGACTCTGTAAGCCCAGGGTACCAGCCAACCTCCTTGATAAATCCTAGATCCGCCCCCGTGTTCCACACAGGACACTAAGCCAACACCCACAGGTGATGGTAACTTCTACCTGGGCACCAAGTGGGAAAAGGAAATGAGAACAGCCAAGGGAAACATGGAGGAGAACAGTGGAAAGAGAATGCACTGAGATGGAATTAAAAGGAACTAAAAGATAACAGCACTTTACATATCCACCCCATTTCCTTATGATGCCAATCAGAAGAAAATGACAACTACAAGCAATGCTTGGGTATATGGACTATACCATTTGTCTTTGAGCAAAGTCACTGTAGCTTGATTCTGGCTGAGAGGCATTTTCCTGTACAGCAGGCTTTTCATCTTTAAGGCTATGTTCTTTTTTGAAGTGATCTAGAAGTTTTGATTGCCCCTGAGTTGACTTTCCAAGAACTGTTCCTTCCTTGTAACCCATTCTTTCCTGAAAACAATAATGAAAAATCCAGATGATTCAGAGATTAAACATGGCCTAAGAAGAACTGGTTGGAAACAGAACTTAATGGTGATAAAGTATGAGAAATATATATGTATAATTATTCGTAATTATTACAGTTGTGTCGTATGGATCAAAGAGCCAGGTGAATGCATATGAACTGTATAAGAAATGAGGAAAAGGCAGGTGGGACCAAATAAACAATCTGACACCAGTATCAGGGTCAGCCATAGGGGAGGGAGGGCGAGATAGTGGTATAAAAATATACCTAAAAAGAAAAACCCACTGTACCTAAAATTGCTCCTTAAATTCATGTAAAATACCAACATTTGGAAAAACAATGTATACTTTGTACCATAAAAGGCCCAATTTTGGCATCAAAATACTGTATACTTGTGTATACCGACCCTGCAGTATAATATTAATGTAAGAAAATGTGAGGTGTAACACAATGGTCAATATAAATAAAAAGAATTATTTACTGGATTTAATTAATTATTTAATGACAAAGATTATGCTTGTGCTAATCCAGACACAATACATAACACTCACCATTTGTTTCTTGACAACATCACTGTAAACTGGTTTTTGATCAAAGTGAAGGAAGCTTGCATAGGAAGGAGAGGAGAGTTCTTCCTCAGACTCACTGCTTGAAAGATCTGGAATACAAAACATGATTAATAATTTTAATGCTAAATATGACTTGTGTGGTTCAAGGAAGTTATCTATATCCACCCTATGGAAGCATTGGAAGGTCAGTGGAAACTCTGCAGGGTTGGAGGTCTCAAAAACCAAAATGTAGACTATCAGAGAAAAGTATGATGCTAAATCAAAACTGGGCAGCAGGAGAGAGCTGTGATCATTCAAACCAAAAAGAATTCAGTGAGGGTATGGATATTCTCTGAAACAACACAAGACACTGACAAGTAAAAACCCTTACAAATGAATATAAATTATGGTAGTTCTATTCTTCATCTAATAATTATAACTTTGCAGACTGTAAGTCTTTGTTTTTCCAAAGGAACCAATTGCAGCATAGTTTGAGACCAAGATGTTTTTGAAATTTTGCAGCTTCTCACTTGCTGTATCTCCATAAAGCTGCATTTACCTCATTACAATGGTTTTCTTTTTTAGGTGAAGTCTACCATTAAATATTTTTCTCTTTTAGTGGAGGAAAAAAACGTTGAGCACAACAAGAGCTATGTTGGGGAGATTTCCTCTTGTTAGAGCTAATCTTTTAAACATTCAAAACAATGAACGATAATAATCAACCGCCACGCTTCTGTTAATATAAAACTCACTTCTTTCCTTTTTGAAAATCTTGATCCCATCAGCTGGGGTCGGATCCTCAAGTTTACGTTTAGACATCGTCCACTCTGACTTTGGTCATTCAACACTCCGTGATTATACTTGCAGGACAAGATAAAACTACGTAAGCTTAATTTTAGTCAATTACAGGACAGGAAGCCGGAAGTAGTTTCCACACTTTCAGCTGGGTTAAACTAACGTTTTTAGTGAAAAGAAGCTTATTTGATACAAAAGAAAGTTGCAGAGCATCATCTGCAAAATAGCACCTTTTTCTCTGTATTTCTGATTAAACGGTTCACGCAAACTAATGGAAAACTTTTCGACGTTTTCGGAATCGATCAAGAACCGCCATTTTGATGACAAAGTGCTCGCCGTAGACTGGGGAGAAGAATATTCATTCACTACTTCGTATATGATACAGTAATTGATACCGTTAAGGACCAAAGGGCATCATGGGTTACATTGCTTGACAAAAAGAAAAACGGTTTGTAAACAGTTGCAAACTTGTTGCAAACCAACATACTTTCTGTTTTTGCAAGCATCTCTGAAGATGGAAGTCGAACTTTCTTTAGATCTAGTTAACTCCTGCAATTTTGCGAGAAAGCGACAGGCAGCCATGGAAAGTTATACAGAAATACAATCGAAGGTAAATTATTTGAGCTTTTATGCTACACAATAACACGTGTTGATTATAATTTTGTTTCGGAAAAAAGGGTTCGCTAGACGCCATGAGTTGTTTTGCTGCTTCAGTACAGTACAAAGATACTGCGGTTTTTGATACATACATCGTATTTTCGGATCAGTGGTAGGTGTGTTCGTGATCGCTCGATCGTCGAAGCCGGAAATACTGTACATTTTGAATTTTTGTACTTCAAATTTGTTCCAATTAACTTTCAGAAACGACCTTGTCTAGAAGATTCCTCTTGGCACACAGAAAATACATCTAATCTGGAGACAGAGAACAGATTATTGAGTTGTACACAGCCTACGATCTTAGAAAATCGAGTACATGATTATAACCAGCCGTTGTCAGATCGTAATGCCGCCGAACATAACGGCCACTTGGACATCAATTGTAACATTGTGTATCGGGCAAACAATTGTCAAGAAATGGACATTTCATATGATTCAGCAATGACAAGAAGTCAAGCAGGAGTACACCGACAGAGCCTTTTAGTAAGTGAATATTTTTTTGGATGCATTTGACCAACACTTTTAATTCCTAATGGGGAGGTCTGGTGGCCTTATGGTAAGTAGTGTTGTGGACAGGCTAGTCTGCTGGCAGCCTTTTTTGGGGGTCCAAGCTCTGGCCAGGGTATCTGCATTGTGTTGTTGGCCTTCACTTCACACCCACAATGCACGCCCATCTCCACCCAGGCACACAAATGGATGGCGGAGAATTTAATGCTTGATATCCATGCAATGGACTTGCACCCCATTAAGTGGGGGGAGTAGAAAATACTCATAGTCACTTCATGCCATGAAAACTGTCCAGTTTTCGGAGATAACCACCACCTTGATGGGCCACAAGGCTTGGATGCAGACTTTGCCCTGCCTTATACTTACTAGCAATATTGATAGCAACATCAAAAGAATTAGTACTTTCATTGAGATTTATAACAAGAAAGGTATTAAAGGTATGATAATCTTTGCAGACTCCCACACTGCTAGCAGAACATCATTTATCTTCACCCTCCTGCTCTCGCTGTTTGAGAGGTGAACCGGTAAGTTTGGTCAGAACCCAGAACTTTATTCTGGGTATATTGAGGTAAAATGTAATCCCAGGAGTCTATTGATCATTGAATCTCTCTACAGTATTGTCTACAGTGTAAAAGGGCCTGGTGTATTTCACTATTTTTTGTCATAGATTTTCCACTTAGATGCAAGAGCTCCTCAATATTCAATTTTGCAATCTCAGCAACACAAATAACACTACCTATCATACTGTTGCAAGGTCCTGTGCATGCATTGCATGCCTATAATGCTAAGGAATAAGCCAATTTTCTAACTTGGCTCGGAGGCTTGGGGGAATAACACAAAAGAAATTGCCCTGAAGATAAGGAACGGATAATTTGTTTCCTTTGTTTTATTCCCCTAAGCCTTGGAGAATTTTAATACATTGAAATTGGCCTGTTATTGTGCTCATAACAGACAGTAGAGATTTAAGAAATTTGAGCAAATTGTACATCTAAAATAATGTAAAATAACGTTTTGAGGCAACCCTGTTCAGGGACTTCCATGGCAATCTCTTGAAGAGACCCTGTGCAAGTAAAATTCTAACATGCATAGTGCACGAAAGTAGTAGCGTGAAGGCCAATAAAATGACAACAAATGACATGACTTCCAAAAGGGATGTGAGAAACTCCCAAAATTGTGACATTACAAGGTTTGAAATTCACACGGTTGATCCCCTTACAGGGTTTCCTTGTAAAAATCTATGATAGCAATCAGTGACAGAAAATGTAAGTCATTAGATAGTTCTAAACAAACAGGCATGAAAAGTACAGCCAAAGAGAAGAAATTTCAATACTGGAGTTAATATTTGAGGACATGTATCTCTTTGCAAGGAATCATTGTATTTATTTTTAGAACTATAAAATTTTGTTTGATTGCTATTACTTTTGCAGATTGTTAAAAAAAAAAAAAAAAAAAAAATAACAGAAAAAATTAAAAGCAGACGATCGTTTATTATTTTAAACTTACATGACAATCAAATCGATTTACAAACTTCCAAGTTTGAGCCGCTGTGAAAGTCAGTCCCCAAAATACGAGTTACCATAGATTNAAAAAAAAAAAAAAAAAAAAAAAAAAGAATCATAGAGTGGTTTTCATTTGAGTGTCGAAAAGTAATTGGTTTCGCATCAACTGCACTACACGATTGGCATAAAAAATCCATGCCTCTTTTTCATCCAATCAGAAGTAAAACCAAAACCAATTGACTCACTCACACTCATTTTCCCATGCTTCGAGTCAGCTGCATGTAATTACTTTGAGCTTGATTGGTTCACTGTATTGTCTATGTCCTTTGTGATTGGCTAGAGTGATTACGTTGGTTTTGGTTTTTTGACACTCAATTCAAAACCGCTCTAATGTACAAAACCCATCACAAAAGCATTTTGTGCATTGTAATCACTGTTTTCCTATTGTGACATTTCTTACTTTATCATTAAAAACTGTTCTTCTTTATCCACAGGGACATATCAACCATCTAACAAGTTGATGCAGGACATCTTTCCACTTGTATTTGTCATACACATAACGTGCTCCTCATTTTCGTGCTGGAAAAACTTTCTGTTTATATCATGTACATAGACTTCCTTTCAAGCATTTGAACGTTAATTTATCAGTCATCCTGTTTTTTTCTTTTTAAAAAAATATCACTTTTGGTATTTTACAGATATCTTATTGACTTCTGTCTTTTTGGTGTGTTATAGAAGATGTAAATAGATCTGTGGACCCGTCCACATTACGCCGGAAAAATTTGAAAACGCAGCTTTATTTCTACGGTTAGGCCTATCGTCCACACTAATCCGTCACCAAAACGGAGCTTTTCAAAAAACGCTCTTCAAACAGGAGAAATTTGAGAACGCTGGCTTTGCGTTTCAGTGTGGACGGAAAACATTTTGAAAACGGAGTTTTACGAAAACGATGCCGTCACGATAATAATGTGATTTCCCTGACCTAGCTTTCCTCCAAAATGGCCGGTGATTGTTGCATTTTCACGGTTTCTCCCGCGTAGTGTGGACGGAAAACATTTGGTGCGTTTTCAGAGTGAAACCTCCGTTTGCAAATTTATCTGGCGTAGTGTGGATGGGATCTGTGTGAACGAGTTTACGCATGGCGTGTACCAGTTCCAACTGGCAGTATCTTCCACTTAACACGACTGTTAGGAAGACCATGTAAATATGATACGAGTTTGTGTTTGAATGAATATTGACTTGACTGACTTGACTTGACAACAGTTAGAATTAATATTATTTATCAGTAGGTACCTTCCAACAGGAATTTTTTGCGTTGACAATTTTGGAAATTCAATGATAGGCACGTGGACGACGCTGTCACATGGTACAAAATGAGCAATCAGCTGTCCCCAGTTGTTCAAAAGGTGGATAACGCTATCCACCTATAAAAAAATCACTGTCAATAATCACTGTGATTATGCCCCATTGTTTAAATGCTTAGTCATTTAAAATGCTCGACATCCAGCAGTTTCATCCGTGAAATGGTTTATGCGTGAAACACGAATGATTTGGGTGAATGAGCGCATGATTGCACGAAACATCAGTGCCAGTGGCTGCCATAACTGATGTGTGCGTTTCATGTTGAAGAGTTCCAAAGGAAAAGCATAGTAATAAAGCAATGATTACTTACCAATACGAAAGCAAATATGCGTTTAACCAGTATGGCTTCCATGACTGCATCGTTGATTTCCTCGTGGTAGCGCGTATTAAAATGACTCATTTAGGGTCCTCTATGTGTGAACATTTCGATTTCTCGATCCAAGTAGCAAATTTTAGGTTCCGTCTACAATACGCCGGAGGAATACACTCTTAAAACGCATCAAATGTTTTCCGCCGGAGGAAGTTGAAAACGCAACAATAACCGGTTCTTTTTAGATTTGTGGTTGAGGAAAACTCAGACGGAGGAACATCATGAGTACCGCAACGTTATCGCTTCCGAAAAGCTTCGCTTTTAAAATGTTTTCCGTCCACACTAGAGCGCAAAGCCGGCGTTTTCAAATTCCTCCGGTTTGAAGAGCGTTTTCGAAAAGCTCTGTTTTCGTGACGGATTAGTGTGGATGGTAGGTCTAACCGCAGAAATAAAACTGCGTTTTCAAATTTCTCCAGCGTAGTGTGAACGGGGCTTTAGAAGTTCAGAAACTGTGATTTGCGCATGCTCAGAGTCAAGTCTGATAAATCGGTTGATAAATCTGATTGGCTGAGAGTACGAAACGAATCCTCTGCGCATGCTCAGAGAATCGGACCCGGCCAGAAATCGCGATTCTTGATGCTGACCAAAAAGGAACGCGGCCTCTTGGGACGAGAATGCATAGAGATTTATTTTGATTTGTACTTGGGGGAGAAGGGTAGTATTTACTTCCGTTCGCGGCCTGCAACTTCCGTCCACGCTCTACAACTTCCGTTCACGGTCTACAATTTCTGCCTTCTCCATTCCGTTTCACTCGTGAATGAGTTAAAAAGGAAAACGACAGTATCAACTAAAGCAGTGTCCACACTACGCCGGAGAAAACGCAGCTTTATTTCTACGGTTAGACCTACCGTCCACACTAATCCGTCACGAAAACGGAGCTTTTCAAAAACGCTCTTCAAACTGGTTTATGTGTGGTCGAAAAACATTTAGACAACGCACCTTCGGTTCGACAACTATGTAGCCACGATATTAATGCGACTTCCCTGACCGAGGTTTCCTCCAACACAAATCTAAACTGACCGGTGATTGTTCTGTTTTTAGATTATAGGTGCAGTGTGGACGAGGCCTAAATATTCATCAAATGGCTCAGTTGTTATCGCTCCTTATTTGTGGTTGGTCACAAGAGCAATCAACCGAATCAAAACAGACTAAAATTAAACCCTGGATAAATTAGATCTTTTGAACACAAAAAATTGTCAATCCGCGATTTTAACGTCGAGAGAAAATTTAATACCACACAGAGGTAGGCTCACGATATCTTGACCAGAATCCGTTACGTCTAACCATTGTATACCAGGTGTAATCAATCAATAAGCCCATAATCGAAAACAATCGATAACAATCAATCGTTGACCAATGGCAATTGATGAAAATCGATGAAGAAAAAGAGTTGCGAGTTCGACTGTTATCTATTATTATGGGAAAAAATGTTTGTCCTTGTACAAGTTACACTGATAAAATGTTTCACAAAATTTGTCTGTAATGGGTTTTTTTTGAGTCATTTTATCTTCATGGCCTGCGTATCTTTTACAATCATCAGCAAAATAACAAGAACAGAAATAACTAACCGAAACAATTGGGCTTTACACCTTCCTTTGCTAGTTTACTTTGAATCTTTAAATCGAGTCGTGTTGTTTCAGGCTTCAAGTATTGTTTTACATAATAACAACACCATCTTTGAGTAGTCCGGAAAAATTGACATATTGTTCAAAGGTTAATGTTGGTTTTTTTTAATCGATAACAATCGATATTCCTGAAGACAGGAATAATCGACTGCTAACGATTTTTGTCAATCGATGGCAATCGATTAAAAAAATTTCTGTGAGTTTAGCCTGCAGAACAGGTGGATTAGCGGACTATCGCGCCAGAACCCGCTAATCCGTCTGTACTGCAGGCTACTGTGAGTTCGATTGTTATCAATTGATATATCAATCGATAGCAATCGGTGATCGAAATCTATTAAATCGATTGATTTTCGATATTCGAAGGATGGATAACGCTATCCACAGGACAAATCGCTACCAGTGGATGAGTGCTAACAAAACAAACCGCGCTAGACACTGGATAGTGATTTATCCGGTGGATAGCGTTATCCACCTTTCCAACAACCCGTAATCTCACTGTCGCAAATCTGCTTTATCATTGCCAGACGAGACGAATCTACGCAATAGGCACTAGCTTGTACCTTCGAGGGAGTTCTTATCTGATTGTAAGAATAATTCACAAAACAAATCACCCATGCGTTCTAATAATTAGCGTGTGGAGCCTGATGGAAACACTTGATAAAACTTTTCAAAGCTTGCGCAATACCGCTTCTAAGACAATCATATATTGCGCCTCGTTCTAGACAATGTTCCTGTGTTTTGCAGTATTTTGTTTTTGTTCAAGAACTGGAGTTTTTCCGACCCCGTGCGGAAGTCGATTTATGCGTTATATTTCCCATTTCCCCCTTCTCTAATCCACATTGAGCATTGCGTCTGACCATGAAGTCGTTTCTCTTTAACTGGTAAGTCGCCGAACTTTTTCATAATCATGATTCGAATTGCATCAATGTCACGCCAGTTTAGCAACATACTAAAAGTCTTTTGACTTAAATAACTGCGATTATCACAGTTCTGACCGGTCGTTTCCAGCCAAATACTACAAGAAGAGATATCGATAAATGTTCCCTTTACTTTTCCTGTGGTACATGATAGACGAGGATACGATAGATGACAATTATATCGATAGTTTTGCCACTTTGTGATTCTAAACTGCAGTGGAACTTTGAACGTTAAAAACCTTTATTGACCAAGCAGCTATGGTTTACACACAATATAACAAAGAGAACGTGGCGGTGAATAAACCGAGAAGGTTCAGCAGGCGAAAGCCACCTTCTCACGTAAGGTAATTACAACCACATGGAGGAAAAAGATGGGAAAGGACAAAGCTACCAATACAGGGAGGGAGGGAGGGAGGGGAAGCGGAGAACGGCCTAGCTTGAATACTAGCTTACAACTGGGACAGGGTCAGAAAACAATGGGATTTTACTAACTGGGGATTGAAGGAGTTGGGAGGGGTATAGCACGCTGAAATTACATGAGAGCAAGGTGGAAAATCACTGGGAGCTTTGTCGTATGATTTCCTATATGGTAAAACGATTGCGTTGCATTGGACATTGTCCTAAGGCTATTGCACAATGGCTAATAGGGAGAAGATAACAGAACTGGTGACAACCTTAGATGACAGCTATGATGTAGACTACAGAGCTCATTAACCACAGTTTAAATGCTTAAACTTCTAACCTACTGAACTGATAAGAAATTATCAAAGTTAAGAAAACATAGGATACCATAACAGTGACGGTGTTGTGAACATATGATCTTAAGTAGTATAGATATTCTAGAATTCTGTTCCTCCGATTCTCCTAACTTTTAGCTTTGTTTGAAACGCTATAAACAATCTGACACAATGTCTAATCAAATTTCCAAACGCGCCTCAAGGTTCTGTCAAAATACTTCGCTGTGTGTCGTAATTTGAACTTTCTTCTTGGTACTTGGAATAGTATTGAAAAGTTGGCTCTGGCGACTGATGTACCATAAACTGCTAAATGCCGTTCTTTTGTGGTTTGTCTTTATATCAACAATTTTAAGGACTTTGCTGACTAAAAAGGGTAGAATTCGCTGCCTGGTGTTAGTCCTGATAGTTTCTAATGTTCTCATGTCTGATTTGCCTGACACTGTGTTTACAGTGTTTGGGGAAATTAGATTTACCTATTACACTTACAATGTTGCTTGTTTACCTTCGTAGTCCCGGAAATGGCGTCTCAACTGAGGCTCACACCACCCTAGAGAGGATTAGCCCGGTAGATACCCCGAGGGCGGAGGGCGGCGTGGAGCAGATCCAGGCTAAGACGCCAACAGATGACGTTGATTGGGAGGCTATCAAGGACATTCTTTCGGAGATCGCTGATTTTAGGTAAACAGTTATTGCAATATCATTGTATTGATAGATTTTACATCGGTCACTCTTACACGACTTCTGTTGTTTATTTTTCACAACGCCAGCGTCCCACAGCCAGCCCAACTCAGTCGCTTCAGTACTCCTCATAGTTTCAAGAGTGGAGGCCTGGACAGTAGTTACAGGAGTTCTGTGTTGTCGGAGAGATCTGGTACCTTTGAAAATACGACACGGAGAAAGAAATCTCATTCTCAATCGGACAAAGGATACGGGTCTACAAATAGCGTATTGTCTGACTTGTCGGGCGACAGTAAGTAGTATCTTCTATCCGTGCAGACTTCCTTAGTCTCGGGCAATCCACGCATGTCCGAGGACATGCTGCTGACACGCGCGAGAACGCTTTTGAACACGCATGTATACCCTAATGCCCTCTTATTTTACCAAGCAGTTACATTGTAAGGGTAAATAACTAGAGTCACCCCTGAATTAATATTTGATTTTTATTTGATTTCTTTTTTTTTTAGTCGTTTCTTATCCAGACAGTCCAAAGATTCCAGGACTGAAATTCGACCGGGACACGTCTTCATTTTGGTATAAACCCACCATTACAAGAAATGAGGGTATGCCTTCCTCTTCACTTGCTGTCTTTCGCGTTACTTGCTCAGAAACTGAGTGGCTTGAGTTCAACAAAAGTTTCCTGTATTTTAACAATCTATTCATGCATTCAGGCAGAGTATGTGGTTGAGGAAGTCTTTTTTTTCTTTCGTTTCTGCTTGCAGCTAACGATATTCTTAAAGACTCGGAACCAGGCTCTTTCATCATCCGGGATAGTCAGTTCTTCCCAGGAGCCTTTGGTTTGGCTCTCAAGGTAGCGGTGCCTCCTGCGCATGTGCTTCAGGGACTACAAGACAATCGAAGTAAGTTGAACATTTCTTGAAACTACTTCCTCTCTTCTTGGATATGTGCATTTCCCTGTGAGTGTTCACCCTAATTGTGTGCCTCACTGGCTCCTCTCTTGTGGACCTCCATTGGTCACTTAATTGTCACTTCTCTTAGCTCTATAAATGTGTAGCTAAATTGATTCCTTACTCGTATAGCTCAATATTGACCCCTCAAGTTTGTACCTCTAACGGTTCTTTTAGTAGGTTACTTCCTGTTGGCTCCTTATTCGTGTAGCTCAATTTGCCCCTTAATTTTGTCCCTCTACTGGCTCTCTCAGTAGATTTCTGCCTCTTGGCTTCTTATTCATGTAGCTTAATTAGCCCCTCAATTTTGTAACTCTACTGGTTCACTTAGTTGGTTACTTGCTGTTTTAATGGTGATACCGGAAAGTAAAAAGCAACCAAAGTCTGAAGACAACCACGGTTAAATTCAGCGTCTTGTTTTCTTTTGCAGCTAAAGTTGATCTTATCAATGAACTTGTGCGGCATTTCCTGATCGAGACGACTAAGAAGGGCGTCCGACTGAAAGGATACAACGATGAACCCGTGTTTGGTAAGTTCTGGTCGAACACAGCTCACTCGTTTGATGGAATTTTTGCGGCAAACTGTTCGCTTTTAACGTACAAACGAACATACGAAGGACGAAGTATCTTGCGGGCAAGGAAACCGGAAAAATGATAACGCTGGAAAGGACTTCTAGAATACTCACGGAAAGTTAAAACAACTGGTCTAAGGTCGCTTTTTGTTTGTTCTTGTGTGATGTACTTTTAACTGGGATTTCACGGTTGAAAACCTGATTAAGATCAAACTTCTTCGCCGAGATCGTTTACAACTTTCAATGATATAAATGTAATTCTCTTTGTTTGTTTGTTTGTTTGTTTGTTTGTTTGTTTGTTTGTTTAGGGAGTTTGGCTGCTTTCGTTTATCAACATACCATCACGCCTTTGGCGTTACCAATCAAACTGACCATGCCTTCTCAAGGTATGTTGATTTTCGCGATCAAATATCAAATTCGCATAAGCCACGCGCTCGACTTTGCATTGATTTGTTAAAGAGGAATTTAATTGTTGATCAAATAATCTTCGGGCTCGTTTCCATCTTGTTTAACATGAATTATCCCTGCAGTGTTGTATCTAAAGATCGTTGTCTACATTACAAAATCTTCTAAAACAGCTTGACTTATGGAATGGGGTGAATAGGTTTTCGGATCGACGGATTTGGCCTTAAAAAGCGCATGGATTATGGAGTTTTGCGGTAAATCGCGGATTTTGAAAACACAGTGGATCGTGGATTAGCTGTAAATTATGGCGCGGATTCCGGATTGTGCCTGTCTTGATGTTCGGATCTTGGGTCCTAAGCGAAATTTGGATCATGGATCTTTCTTCAGTCTTGGTCGGTATGTTAACGCTTTGAATACCAAACTTTCGCCAAAAAAGACGTCGGAATGTCGTCAATATCTAAACCTGACCATTGTACGGAAAGGCCTAGCCTAGTACTACTATCCGCTTATCAAGAATATCTTATGATATATGAATTGATGACGTCACAAGTGGTAAAAAGAGCACGACCATTAATTACGCATATCTGCGTAATTGGGGCTCAAAGGGTTAATGGGTTCATCCAAATTTTTTTTTCCGAACAAAACTTATTTAAACTCAGGTGTGAGACTGTTATTAGACTTGTACTATGTTATAGCCATCAAGTATGCTGCTTTCTTTACTATTTTTGCGAAATTAACAATGGTATTCACATTTACCACTTTACTTTTGAACTTTTATACTTCTGTTTCCGGATTGTGGTTTCGGATTTGAACAAAAATATTGGCGGATCGACGGATTAGGCGGGAAAAAGGCACGGATTGGCGGATTTGTGTGGCCCTATTTACCCCCTCCTTATGATGTATGAAACACTGTCAGAATACTGTTCTTTTAACCTTATCTCCCTCCCCTCCCACCCTTTTTATGCTATCCTCCCTTTCCTACTTAGGCCCAGTCTCCAGCCGTAGTTGTTTCAGTGAGACCGCGTTAGAGAGGATCACAGGCGCACTGAATCACCCACAGCTGGAGACTGAGTATATTTCTTACTCTTCTTTTTATATATGTTGGTTTTTTTTTGGTGTCATTATGTTAATGATTTAGGCGCTATTTCAAGATAATATCCCCAATTTGACAATCTTCTGGACTGTTCTTACTTGGCTACAAATGCCGACCTGGGAATTTCTTTTTTCTTTTTCTTCACACCTCCTGTCAGAGGACAAGGATCAGTCTACCAATAAAGAAGACAGGCAATCCTGGCCTGAGGACGCAGGTAATACCAACTATTTTTTTATTCGTTTGTCTCGGGGAACATCCTGAGGAATCTGTTCTGCAACCACTGTGTTATATAATCTCCGGAAACATTCCGATCTCTTACCGAACATTTCCCAAGAAGTCGCCGAAAAGTGCGAACATACTCCGATAAGCTACGAGGATTTCCGAGTGCTTCCGAAGATAACCAAAGAATAACGAAAACTCACAATAACGACTGTTTGTTTGAAATAAGACTTACTGGTGTCTTTTTTTCTGTCTTTTAGTTGGTTCACTCATGTATCTCGGCCGCTGTGAGGTTGAAATGCTTACTGGACCAAGCGCGATACAGCGAACTGTGGAACAACTATCAACTGAAGAGGCGGCGAAGAAATTCACTACTGTCAGCTTCAAGGTCACGCCACAAGGAATGACTCTGACTGATAACGAACGAAAGTAAGACTCGCTAGAATTTATCACCATTGCATAACATGAAGGGATGTAAAGTCCAGCTCCACGTCCCCGTCATGCACCCTGGGCAACGTTCTAAAGTAGGGGATCGCCAATCAGGGTGAAGTACGGTGGGGAAGCTTTATTCCTCAGGGCCGCTACGGTAACTGTGAAGACCTGACTGGAACTCTGAAACGGGGCAGCAAACGGAGCTCTGGTGCAGCTGCGAAGGCTAACCCCCTACGTGGTGGATTCATCGGGTTACTGAAACCGAAACTATGCGAAACTTTGCCGGGTCTCTATTACAAGTAGAGATCGAGCAGGGATCATTAAAACCGAATTATGACCATAAGATTAGGACGAGAATGAAACGGCCAACAAGAATATCACTTGGATAAAGGCAGAGAGAACTGCCAAATATAGAGTCAGGTGGAGGTCCATCAGTGGTTGACGCCCTATGCTCCCCGTCAGGACCAAAGATGGCCTAATGCATAATGTATAACATGAAGACGTATAGTCACATTTCATTTCGTTTACCTCTGAAATGACAAAAATTAAGAATGGCTGACTGTTAGGATCGAGAAACGCCGGTCAACGTCCCATTTGACAAATCGCTCATACTTTGCCCTTAGGTGACCTAATTCTAAAAATCATATTTAAAGGTTCCAGCGAATTTTTATTTTTCAGAAATTCGCGAAAATTTGAAAGCGCGGTCAAAGTGCGGTTTTTCGTGTAATAAAATGACCGAAATAAGGTGCGAAGACGAAGCACTGCTTAAGTTTTAAACTCAGTCACTGGAGAGCTATTCCCTTATGGACTTAGCCAAAATGTGCTACAAACCTTGCTTGGAGCAGGCGTTTGCGCTTAACTCAAAACCACAATAGGTCACCAGGAAGCCCTCGTTGCTTTAAAAAAGGTTTGGGCTCTCAGGGCAGTCAGTGACAAGCAGCAATCGTATCTTATGGCAAACTTCCGCGTTGGTCAAACAGGCCGAAAGGTTGACGCCGAACTGGTGGCGCGGTAATGCGCAGTTCGTCTTTTTCGGGTGCTGGTTTTCCTCTCACCTAAGTGCCGCAATGCGCCAAAGTGATCCTGATGAGATGCGTGTTCAGGCATCTAAAGAGGAGAGAAATTTTAGTCAGGCCAAGGAAGTTGTAGAAATACTCCAGCTCCAGCATCCTTTGGTACACGACCAGCAAGACTCCCGTGCCTTGGCGATGGAGGGTGACCTAAAGAACCTGAAACTGTCTATTCTACCGTGCGGTTGCGAAGAAATGGGACTAGATATACCTCTCCCACTCGTGCGCGGAAAAGCTCCAAACGCGGCGCTTCTGAAGTATTTTACTAACAACTGCACTTGGCGGAAGTATTCTTAGGAACTGTCGGTGTTTGGCTTCTTCGGTATTTAGCAAACACCTCTTCGGGGGGGGGGGGGGGGGGGGGNTAACCATGTACGGTAGGGGTGTATTAATGTCTTCAAGGCCGCTGCATTCGTGTCTTTTATAGGCTGTCTATTTTAGAGAGGCACTTGTCCCTGAAGAAATGTACCCAGTCCCTAGAGAGATATTCCCTTATGGACTTAGCCAAAATGTGCTACAAACCCTGCTTAGAGCAAGCGTTGGCGCTTAACCCAAAGCCACAATAGGTCACCAAGAAGCCCTTGTTGCTTTAAAAAAAGGTTTGGGTATCTGAAGAGGAGAGCAATTTTAGTCAGGCAAAGGAAGTTGTAGAAATACTCAAGTTTCAGCATCCTTTGGTATACGACCAGCAAGACCCCTGTGCCTTGGCGATGGAGGGTGGCCTAGAGAACTTTGAAACTGTCTATGCTACCGTGCGGGTGCGAAGACATGGGACTAGATATACCTCCCCCACTCGTGCGCGGAAAAGCTCCATACTCGGCGCTTCTGAAGTATTTTACTAACAACTGCACTTGGCGGAAGTATTCTTAGGAACTGTCGGTGTTTGGCTTCTTCGGTATTTAGCAAACATCTCTTTTGGAGGGGGTGGGGAGGGGGGGAGGATCGTTAAATTTTTGTAGAGAAGGGGAGGGAGTAGAGGAGGAACACACTTTAGAGGAAAAAATAACGGCCGAATCGTTTCAACCTCGTTCCCTGGGTCTTTCATCTCACCGCCCCCTGGAGCGAGCTCAGCATCAGTTCATTAGAATAATACAGAGACCTATTAGGATAAAGCGTCGGGACAATCTGCGGTCCTTCCACTAGTGGTTCACTATCACTCTTCTCGGTTAAGCATGGCAAATTGACTGACTTGACTCGTGGCTCCCGGCCACGCCCATCTAGTAGTATGTAACCCCAGTATGTGTCCAAAGAAAACTTGAGATTCTCTCAAATACGATTAACATTACAACCAGACCGACTGCGTGTTGGACAACACTAAGTTACAATGTGCAACA